AATTGGTTTTTCTGGGGCCTACCAAACACATTTTGGAAGATAGTATAGTAAAATTTTAAAAGAAGGGGGTTACCCTAAGTAAAGATGGAAATGTCTGAAATTTTGTGTGTGCAGTTATTTTGCTTTCATGTATGTTTGTGCACCACATGCATGGCTGATACTCACCGAGGCCAGAAGGGGCAATGGATCCCCTAGAACTGGAGTTAACCAACAGCTGTGAGCCACCACCTGGATATTGGAAATCAAACCTGGGTCCTCTAGAAGAGTAAGTAGTACCCTTAACCTCTGACAGATCTCTCCAGCCCTAGGAAACCATTCTTAAAAGACTCCTGATAAGTTAGCAGCAGTAAAATCTAGAGGCAAACATCCCTCCCTGTACAGCAGTGTCATGTGGCCTAGCCTGCAGGATACCACTAGGTAGAGAGAAAATCTTTTAATGAGAACCAAGCAGTCTTACAAAAGGTGTAAATCCTGCCTGAACTGTAGACTGAAATGTACCAAGCCTGTACCCCAAACCCACACGAGGGACTGCACAGAGACAGGCCTCACACTTGTACCCAAGCGAGAGATTACATGCACACGCCATACTACCTTTGTTTCTTTGTTACTTCAACAATTACTGTAATTGCAGAGGTGACTATTTTTAATTGGCTTATACTGTACTTTCATAGTGGCATATCCTATTAGCTGTAATACCAGCTATTTGGGAGGTAGAAGGAGGGGATCACAAGTTCAAAGCTTATCTGGACTTACAGAAGCTTAAGGCAAGCCTGGGCAACTTTCAGAAACTCTAATATCAAAAACAGAAAGTACAAAAGAGGAGAAGGCTGGGACATGGCTGAGTAGTTGAGAGCTTGCTTAGCATGTATGTTCCGGGTTCAATTTCCCATACCACAAAAGCAAAAAATGACAAAGAGAATATATGAGATTTATGAGACATGATGAAATGACAGAGAAGAGGGAGAGGTTAATTAAGTTAAAAGTACAGAAAATATATTTGACAAAATTACATCAGACATTTCCAAAATATAGGGGAAGAGATGGCCACCCAGATATAGGAGTCATTTAGAATGTCACAGAACAAAGAATATTGAAAACCATAAGAGAAAAGCACCTGGGGCTGGAGAGATGGCTCAGGGATTAAGAGCACTGACTGTTCTTCCAGAGGTCCTGAGTTCAATTCCCAGCAACCACATGGTGGCTCACAATCATCTGTAATGGGATCTGGTGCCCTCTTCTGGCCTGCACTGTATACATGATAAATAATTAAATCTTAAAAAAAAAAAAAAGAAAGAAAGAAAGAAAGAAAGAAAGAAAGAAAGAAAGAAAGAAAGGAAAGGAAAGCAGCAAATCACGTACAAAGACAAAACCAGCAGAATAACAGCAGCTTTCCCCACAGAAAATCTAAAAGCCAGGAGGGAGGAATGGTGTGTTTCAAACTCTGAAAAACAACTGCCAGACTAGATTAATGTCCAGCAGAACTATTCTTCACAACTAGAGAGAAAAAAAAAAGTCTCCATGATAAACACAAACTAAAGGAATTCATCAGCACGAATCCAGAAACACAGAGGCTATTGGAAGGAATCCTACACACTGAAGAGGAGAAAAAAACACTCATGAGGCACAGGGAACAATGAACTACACTGGGGCAGTGAGTAGGCCAGGAGATATGAAAAAAAAAATCAAGCATTATAAAAATGACAAATGACAAGTGTGTCCTTATCAGGAATATATATCTGTCTAAAACAGTGCTGAATGTTAATTAATCAAGACACAGGACCCATCTATTAGTTGCTTCCAAAAAACAAAAAACAAAATAAAACAAAACAAAAAAAAAACACATCTTATTGGCAAAGACAACACAGCACTGGGGTAAAAGGAGATTTTTCAGTTAAATATAAATAACAAGCAAGCAAATTTATCAATACTAATATGACAAAATAAACTTCAAACAAAAATGGATCAGAAAAGTCAAGGAAAGTCACTTCCCACTAATTAAAGGAACATTTCATCAAAAAGACATTGCAGTTCTAGGCCAGCAAGCAGAACAGCCAGCTCCTGACATCAACACTCATTGTGTTAGTGCTGGAAGAGCAGATTAGAAATGTCAGCTGTTAAACCAGGGGGTGGTGGTGCACGCCTTTACTCCAGCACTTGGGAAGCAGAGGCAGGCAGATCTCTCTGACTTTGAGGCCAGCCTAGTCTACAAAGGGAGTTTCAGGACAGCCAGGACTGTCCCACCGAGAAACCTTGTCTCCAGGGAAAAAAAATTTCCTAGAATCAAATGAAAATACAACATACTAAAACATATGGGATAGAACCCAAGCAGTCCTAAGGGGACATTTATAGCAGCAAAAGTCTACATCTTAAAAATCATTGCTTTGGGGCTGGAGAGATGGCTCAGTGGTTAAGAGCATTTGCTCTTCTAGAGGACCTGAGTTTGATTCACAGCACCCCCTCAGCAGTTCACAACCACCTTTAACTCTAGGCCCAGGGAATCTGACACCCTCTCTGGCCTCCTTGGGTACCCAAACACACCTGGTTTTTATACACCAAGACATACATAAGTAAAAACAATAAAAACAAATCTTAAAAAAAAATCATTGCTATGCTTCTATCATTTTATATCACTGTCATTCTCTAAAATTTTATGTAAACAAGGTCATATATAATTTTCATGTGATTTACTTAGTAAATAATTTTCAGGTTCAACTATTGTTTTCTATGTATCAAAGCTTCTTTCTTTTCACTACATGGTTTGTAAACTACTACACTAAAATTAAGAATGCATATTATAATCTTAGCTCAAGAAGCATTAGGAAAATACTAGATTAAAGAAATACTACAGTAACTTCCTAAGATTCTTGAAATAGATATGTATATTCTCATATCCCTGACACACATTGAGTACTTAAAGACAACATAAAATACAATAGACTCCTCTTCCTAACAGGCTCCATATCTAAAGACTTCACCTACCACAAACTGAAAATACTCAGACAAAATATCTATATTTAATACGTTCAGAGTTCATTTTGTCATTATTCCCTAACAATTCAGTATAATAATAACTTACATTGTTTTAGGAATTATAAGTAATCTAGAATTATTTAAAAATAAATGGGGATATATGTAGGTCATAGGCAAACATTACACAATTTTATGTAAAGAAATTGAGCATGGGTTTTTTTATCTGTGCAGGGACATGGTGTCCTAAAACTAATCCTCTGAGTGATACTGAAGAATGTGTATATTGCCAGAATAAAAAGTAAATATCCTAAGACAGATGCCTGAGTTCTAGGCCAGCCTGGTCTACAAAGCTAGTTCCAGGACAGTTACTCACAGAGAAACCCTGTCCCCCAAAACAGAAAAAGTAAACAGCATATACAAATACCAGAGAAACTCAGATATCCAAGTCTAATTGTAATATCTTTCTTTACTTTTTAAATTATTTTTATTTAATTTGTACTGGGGGCAGAGCATGCACATCCCTTGGCACCTTGTGTGAAGGTCAGAGCATCATTATTCTCCTTCTACTGTGTGAGTCCCAGGGATTGAATTCAGGTTATCAGATATGGCAGCCAGAACCTTTATCTATTGAATCATTTCACCAGACCCTATCATACCTCTCTAATCTGTCACACTTTTGATTTAGGAAGCATTTAACGCACGTGTGTGTGTGTGTGTGTGTGTGTGTGTGTGTGTGTAACTGTGTCTGTGTCTGTGTGTGTGTACTCGTACCCATGTATGCCACTATATAGCTTAATGATTAATTGAATAGATTTCAAAATCAAATAAACTACCTGGTGGTGGTAGCACATGCCTTTAATCCCAGCAGTTGAGAGGCATAGGCAGATGGATCTCTCTGAGTTTGAGGCCAGCTTGATCTACAAAGTGAGTTCCAGGACAGCCAGGACTGTTACACAAAGAAGCACTGTCTTAAAAAACAAACAAGCCAACAAAATATCCAATAAACCAAGTCCATTGCTGCAATAAGCACTATCTTATACTAACTGAATAAAAGACAATCTATTTTTTTTTCTTTGTTTTGTTTTTGGTTTTTTGAGATAGGGTTTCTCTGGGTAACAGCTCTGGCTGTCCTAGAACTCACTTTGTAGACCAGGCTGGCCTCAAACTCACAGATACACACCTGTCTCTGCCTCCCAAGTGCTGGGATTAAAGGCATTTGATGCCATTGCTCGGCAACATTCTAATTTTTTTAATTAACAAAAAGTCCTAAAATTAAAGTCAGTATGGCATTAAAATGAAAAGAAACTAATGAACAACAATGTGAAGAAACCTGCTAGCTAAACCTGCCATATAATGATATGCTTATCATTAAGAAAAGAAATAGAATTCTAGTAGAGGATATAATGAAAGCACTTATTTGATTATTTATTGGAAAATAAATATAATCAACTCAGTGGTCTGGACAGTCTCTAATTACCAGTTTCTTTCCCCTCAGAAAATGTGAGCCAGGTCACTGGGAGTCTAATCCAGCATCTGCAGCAGTGACTGAATAGCTTTAAGAAAAAATCACAGACACTAAAATCACCTGTTGTAATGAATAGAAACTCAAAGAAAAGCAGCACTGGTTCGTAATCAAGATAAAATTGAAAATTATGCGTGAGCTAAGGTCAGAGATGGCATACTATGTCTTTAGGAACAAACATTAATATGATTAAGATATTACCAGATGGTTACCCAGATACCAGGACAGGACAGTTTGTCTGCACTATCTAAACTCAGAGTGTGCTCTTAGCATCTCTATCATCGTCTCAAGACTGCCGCAAAGGAGGTGACTTCTTTGCAACCACAATTGCCCAACTCTGTTCTTTGAGACAACTGCAAGGCCCTGTGGTTTCTGTTTAGACTCTGTCTGTAACTGAGAACATCAAAACTTCTACATGACTACCACTGCAAATAAAAGTAAATTAAATGCATAAACTAGTAAGTAATAAAAATACATTGTTTACAAAGGAAACTGAAGTTGAACTCACCTGTCCACTTTTCCCAAATTCTAGCTCTATAATAGCAACAGGGGTGTCTATTTGAGCCGAGTGCCTTGACTGAGACTTGCCGTCAACTCTCCAGCTCAGGCCCCGCAGTCCATTGTCCCAGCGGCTCTGGTTCACAAGGCTCTCTCGGATTCTTGTCTTATGGCTCTTCCAAAACTTGGAAATGACTGCAGCTTGTTCACAGGTGATGCCACCTTGTTTTTTGGTCTGAGCAGTCAAGAATGCTTCTAACTGGTTGAAATCCATGTCTGCAGATGCAATTGACTATAAAGACAACAGAAAAAGCAATATACATTTGAGTTAGGTAGGTAATTAGACAAAGCCGTCTAACTACAGAGCTTGTTTGATTGACCTTAATCATTGAATATGCTTTCAAAAGGGGCCATCAAGTGACAAGAAAAAGAATAAGTGATGATTATAGTACAAATGCAAAAATACTCCCTTTTCCAATACCAGAAATTCTCTACCAATAACAAGACTATAACTTTAAATATGCAGTTTCAGATGGCTGGAGAGATGGCTCAGTGGTTAAGAGCACTAGCTCCTCTTGCTAAAGGCTCAAGTTTGGTTCCCAGTACTCACAGTAGTACTCACGGCAGCTCACAATCATCTAAACTCCAGTTCTAGGACATCAGATACCCTCTTCTGACCGCCACAGGCACCAAGAATGAACATGATATACATGCATGCACTCAGGCAAAATATTCATGCATATAAAATGAATACTTGTGAATTTTTTCATATCCAGCTTCATAGTGGGGAAATAAAAATATTCTAAGCAATAAAACAAAAAATCAAATTAATTGGTTCTCTGATAAAATTTTACATAATTTATTGTCATTAGACCTGGTTTGACATGCTACAGTGATACCTTGAGTTGACCATTAGACAACTAAGTAAATGTTGTTAAATGATTATGTTACTAGAACTTTGCAGCCAATCTCAAACAGTCCAGTAATACTACTCTGACATTGTATGCCACCTTACGTTTTACTTATATTTTCAAAACTTAACTGACAACAAAGCTATGTTCTTCACTCTAGCACTCAAAAAAACACAGTAACTTACTGTGTTGGTTTTATATTTTATCAATGTTGACACAATCTAGAGTCATCAGAGAAAAGGGAACCTCAATTGAATTGAGAAAATGCCTCCATCAGATTAGTCTGTGGGCAAGCCTGTGGAATAGTTTCTCCTTCCTTCTTTCCTTCCTTCCTTCCTTCCTTCCTTCCTTCCTTCCTTCCTTCCTTCTTTCTTTTTTTTCCCCCTCCAACAGGGATTCTCTATAGCACTGGCCATCCTGAAACTTGCTCTTGTAGACCAGGCCGGCCTCAAACTCTCAGAGATCTGCCTGCCCCTGCTTCCCAAAGGCATGAAACATGATGACTAATGACAGATGTGGGTGGGGTGGGCCTGGCCTACTGTGGGCAGTTCAATCCCTGGGCAGGTAGGTGGTCCTAGGTTGTTTAAGAAAGAAAACTAAAGCCAGGCGTGGTGGCACATACCTTTAATCCCAACACTGAGGAGGCAGAGGCAGGTGGAGAGAGGCAGAGACAGAGACAGAGACAGAGACAGACAGACAGACAGACAGACAGAGGGAAAGAAAGAGACAGAGACAGAGAAAGAGGCAGAGACACATGGAGAGAGGCAGAGAGAGGGGGGAGAAAGGGAAAGAAAAAAGAAAGAAAGCAAATTGAGCAAGTCAAGAGGAGAAGCCAGTAAGTGGCATTCCTCAATGGTCTCTGCCTCAACCCTGCGTCCAGGTTCCTGCTTTGGCTTCCCTCAGTCCACTGATGATGGACTGGAACCTGTAAGCCAAATAAACTCTTTTCTCCCTGAGTCACTTTTGTTAATGGAGCCAAACTAAGACACTAAATGTAAGTATATTAAATGTAGAATAAAGTATCTTAAAAATGTTACTCTACTTTTAAAGAGTTTTGACATCTATTACTTCTTTTTGAAGGTTTGTTTGTTGTTTTTTTTTTCGAGACAGGGTTTCTCTGTGTAGCTTTGGAGCCTATCCTAGCACTCGCTCTAGAGACCAGGCTGGCCTCGAACTCACAGAGATACACCTGCCTCTGCCTCCTGAGTGCTGGGATTAAAGGCGTGCACCACCAATGCCTGGCGACATCTATTACTTCTATTGAAACTCATATTCCATTTTCAAAGGCAACATGGTAGACAGAAGCACTGAGCAGCATTCATCATAGAGAAGCCACTGACTCCCCATAAAGTTCAATGAACCAGAGTCCCAACTGTTAAGCCATGGTTCTCGGGCATACTGGCTTATCTAATTACTGCAGTTTAACAACAAACAGGAAAGTTAGGAAGAGGAAAAAAAATGAGAAGACAGTATAGAGTCAAACTAGTGTACCAAAACTGAAGACATGGTTATACATATGCAATAAGGAGCCACAAAAGCTGGGTAATTATGGGTAATTATGCAACGCTAAATCTGAAAGCCAGGAAAGCCTTCCTTTCCTATGTTGCTATTCTTCCTTGGCCACAGAGGCTGCTGATAGGAACACCAAATCAGACAAATTAGAGTACCCTCTTCTCTCTGTGTACACTGGAGGACTAAGTCAATTTCCCATTTACAACAGGAGAATAAATGGCCTTGCCTTTGAGGGTCACAGTGCCAGAATGATGTGAGACTGGGATTGTGGACAGCTGGTTTCTTTAACTTTTTGGCACAGAGCTGGAAAGAAAAGCAGGAGAGCGGCAGGGCTAAATGGAAAGAAGAGCAGGGGTAAGGAGAGATCCATGAAGTCCAGCTGAGATGAAAGGGTACTCTCAGTACTGTAGCTCTGCTCTGTAACAGTCCCAGGGCCCTGGTTCTTGTAGGTCTTCTTTCAATTGTGCATCTATCTCTGCAACCTTCCAACTGCACCCACCAAAAAACTCCATACTTTTCCTTTGCTTTGATAAAACACCATGACCAAAAGTAGCTTATAGACGGTCAGTAACAACCAAAGCCTCTTCTCTTCTAGTTCTATTTCTCTTCACCTCTCCATACTTATCATAATCCCCCACTTACTGTTCTTCCCTCATATAATGAACCCATTTTATCTCCTAAAATTTGCCACTCCATCCCCATCCTATAAACCTTTGCCTAAGTTACTCCCTCTGCCTAGAAAATCCTAGCTGCTGTTCCTTCATCCCTGCTCCTTGCTGATGTCACTTAATTCAGGGCTTTCACACAGATCTCACATTAGCTTGGTATAGTGGTACAGGCCTATAATCCAAGCACTTGGGATGTTAAGCAGAAGGATCAGGAGTTCAAGTCCAGCCTGGGCTATATGAGACTCTGTCCTAATAAAACAAAACAAACCTGGGATAGGGGTCTCTTTCTAGACTTTACAATAAATTAGTGATATTTTCCATTAGTATAGGATAACTGCCAGACCTACCTGGATCTTGCTGCAAAATGTAAATGCTTTAAAAGTATAAGGACTCAGTCAGGCTTAGTGGCATACACCTTTAATCCCAGCACTAAGGAGGCAGGGGCAGGAAGATCACTGAGTTTGAGGCTAGGTCTACAGAGTGAGTTCCAGATAGACAGAACTACACAGAACAACTCTGTCTCGAAAAAGACAACAAAAGAGTGTAAGGATTCTGTTCCATTTTTTATCATTTAATCCCTGAGGTCCAGCACAGAGACTAACACAGTAGGTGCCTGTGAACTATGGAAGACATACAAAGATCAAGATCAGGAGTGAAGAGCAGATTGAGTCCCAGGGGATTTTTAGGGCAATAAAAGTATTCTGAGGAATTTTAAAGATACATATCTTTATGCATATTAAAACTCATAGAATGATCTGGAGTGGTGTTGCACACCTTTAGGTCCACCCAGTACTCAGGAAGCAGAGGCAGGTGGATCTCTGAGTTTGAGGCAAGCTTGGTCTAGAGAGTGAGTTCCAGGCCAGTCAATGCCACACTGTCTCAAAAAACAATCTAAACAAGAAACAAAGAAACAAAACCATAGAATGAGCCCTAGGCTGTAGATTTAGTGATGTGATATGCTTGTTCAACTACTGTAACAAACAGTACCATAGTTTAGGATGTTAACAAAGCAGAGAGCTGAGGGTGTGGCACACGGGATTATGGACAGGAGGCATTTGTGGACTTTCATTCTCTTCTTAATTTTGCTGTGAATCTAAAGCAATTTCTAACAAAGACTGTTTTCAAACACTAAGGACTGGAGATGGCTCAGTGGTTAAGAGCACTGGCTATTCTTTGCAGAGGACATGGGTTTGGTTCCCAATACCCATATAGCTGCTCATAGTTATCCAGAACTCCAGGGATCTAAAGCTCTCTTCTGACTTCCTCGGGCATCAGGCATGCACACACACATGAAGATAAAATAGTCATAGACATGAAAATAAAGATATTTCTTTAAATATCTTAAAATTTTTAAGTGAATTGTGAACTGGAGTTGTGCCTGTGATATAACATGTGTGGCAAACACACAGATGCTGAGTTCAATCCACAGCACTGTACAAAAATGAAAAAAAAAAAAAAAGCAGAAGTGATTCTATGACAAATTTTTGGCTCACATTTTTAGAAAATGCAATGCTTTTCAAGAGGCTTTCTCATGGAGCCCAGATGCTGACAATGCACAGTTTAATGGAGAGTTACTCTTAGTCAACAAGCAAACCGCTGGGCACCTGGAGGGGTGTTTTTGGAAGAGGATCCCCAGGTTCCAGTTAAGCACACATCTTATGGAAAGAACCTTCCTGTTCAAGTTCTGCTAAAATCCAAGTCAAGAGGTAAACAAAGGACTGTCAAGTTTTTGAATAAGTGAATACCTAAAAGCAAACTCAAGGTAAGGCTACCCTTTTCAGTAAATTGTTTAAGTATCAAGTATATGACCTGTCTTCATATGGAAACAAATCAGTCTCTTAAATTTCACATTCATATATAACCATCAACAACATCTAGCTGCTAAAAGTCAGTGCTGACAACAAACCAAAGCCAGTTCCTATTAAACACAGCTTTGCATTACACTTCTACTGTAGGAACACCTCAGAAACCACAGAGTCCCAAAGGCTTCTGGTCAGGTTGATTCAAGTAGTTTGAGATTCACGAGGAAAGTGAGCTGAAAGTTCCAACAGACTGCCTTCTGCCCTAGCACAAACCTGGATCCATGCACTGCATTTACTACAGTGTGGGAACCAATGCTGCCATCATTACATAAGTTTCTAGTTTGCACACAAGTTACACTTGGTGTACAGTCTGCAGATGTTGACAAATGTATAACAACA